ATTACTAAAAGTTTTACGAGCGTTTAACATCTTCAAATGGGCAACGATAATGGACTGGAATCCGCCATTTTGATACAGTTTTAAAGCTTTATTTTCGGAAAAACTTGAAGTAAATTGAGTTCCGGGCGCCTACGCATTGGTGGAATGAAGATATATTCGTACAAAGTCCAAGGTGATAACGAAATCTTCTAATTATCACCACAAAGATCGTACACTTAGGAAAAATTCCTTCGATCTGGCTAAATTCGATTCAATGTCTTCCTGCAAACCGTGTCTGACGATATGCCATAAGTTGGCAAGTCACGGAACGAAAAGTTATAAAAAAAATCATAAAAAGTTTTTACCAAAATCGTTAGGGATACGTCGTCACGAAAAACAATAAGTTTTTTTTATAACACCAAGTGAAGGGACGAATAAGTTGCAGTGCCACTCGGAGCTTTAAATCGCAAATATCAGCGGGGCACTGTCATTGCGCCCATCACCCTGAGACATAGGTTGACAAGTCCCTTACCCTTACCCTTCCAAACCGGAACGCAGTAATGCTCACATTACTGCTTGGCGGCGGAAATAAATAAGGTGGCAGTACTTCCCTGGACGAACTCTTTCACAAGGACCTCTACTGCTACTAAAAAAGTAAGCTTCAAATGTATTCCTTTTAACTTATTAAAAACCCCGTAAAAAAGAAATATACCCAATGAAGAGAAAAGTGCTTGTCATGCCATGTAAAGAGATTAAGAAAACAACTTCGGAGAAAACAAAATGGTCATTACTAAACTTTTTTTTACTAAACCGTTTATGATGATGATGTGATGCTATTTCATCCGTCGTTTAATTTAGCTTTAGTTTAATGGACCGAATGGACCTTTCTTACCCATTTCGTTTGTAGTTTCTAATTACAGTCGCCTTATAAAGATGTAAGTCCAGCACCAGCCGATTAATGTGATCGTAATGTTTTTGGACAAAAATGAGTAGTGTGTTGTATAATCGTCAAAAAAGGTATATACCTACCTTAACTATAGGTTTAATGCATTTTAGTTTCAGATTGTGCCTATTGCCTTATCGTCGGGGATATGCAATGACGCGTAACTAGCATTGGATTATGAGTTTATATTTCAGTAATTTAGAATCCAAATCAATTCTGAGTAAATGTCGTGGAAACAAACTTAGTGTGGTTTAAGGGCATTTATTGTTATGAGTCCGTAGATAACATTAATTATTACTTGCTGTCCTAAGGTTATCGTAAAACGTGTTTGCAAAATCGCCCATGTTTTTTTTTAATATATTGAGTGATGAAAAAATAGTTATATTAACGCTTTACATAAGTTGTTATAATCCATAGGTCCCATTAACCATAGGACCAAACAAATACCGTGATTTTGATCCGAAAATAGTTTCATTTCTTCTGTGTAACAATCGCGAAAACCTAAGAACTTTTTTTTTATAACATCTAGTGACAGGACGAACAAGTCGTGCGCTTGAGGTACACGCCTATACATAACAGTTGCAATGCCACTCAAAGCAATCGCAAAGATCTGAGGGGCACTACCACTGCGCCCGTCACCCTGAGACATAAGTTGACAAGTCCCATGTGCCTGTAATTTAACCTCACAGTATTACTTGGCGGCGGAAACAAGTAAGGTTACTGCACTGGACGAACTCTTGCAAATGGAGTTCCACTGCTACAAAAACCAAACTGCTTCTACTGCGTTTGTTCTTCTCTACCATGTCTACCTTGTCTTTTCCATTACTTGATGCAACAACGCGTCTTACATTTAACATCAAACTGACTGCTATCAATTTCATAAATATACTTACAGTTATACTTTTTAAATAGTTTTTTGCCTCTGTTTTCTTTTCTTTTTTTCTAATACTAAGTAACGGGACGAACATGTAGTGTGCCTGTAATTTCATCAGCACCCTCACCCTTCAAAACTGGAACACAGTATTGCTGGTATTACTGCTTGGCGGTACAAATAGGTAAGGTGGCAGTACTTCCCTGGACAAACTCTTTCACATGGAGCTTTACTGCTAAAAAACTTGCCATTATAATAGTTTCTAAATAAAAGTTTTTGTCGCTTAGAATTCTCCTGTATACAAGGTGTCTCAGGGCTATAAGTCACGGGGGGAAGTACTTTAAATATTGTAGATACGATATTTTACTTGGATACATTATTTTATTTTTAAAAGTAAGTAATATTTTCATTCAAAGACTTATAATAATCTCAATACAGAGTACTAAAAAACTGACCTCAAAAGTTTGTGGAATTACGTCTATTTGCCAAGTTTTATTTCAAAATAACCGATTTCAATCGGCTACCGGAAAGTGCGCGAAACCGGATTCATCCCCTGGTTTGCCACCCTTAGACCACCCTTGTGCCACCCTTGCTTGTTGTTACCATTGAAATAACAAAGTAATAATATTAAATTCTTTTCCTGTAAAATTTGGTAGATACGCGCCTTTTACCAATACTACATACGCGGATTTGCAGTGTGCCCGACGTTATGCCATTTAAAAAACAATTAAACAACTTACTCACTAATGAAATGTGACATATTATGTCTATACATATCGCACTATTAATACAATACTTTATTAACTCAAAAAGTATATTTTCTCGGAATCGACGAAAAACGAATTACTCGCTTCCCGTAAAAGATCTGTGTAAATTTATGTATAAGTCCTACTTGCCAACCTACACATATTAAAAAAAAGCTTCATATTTTTTAATAAGGATTATTTTTTTATTGTTGGCCAGAACTAGCTCACACAAAGCGTGTCTCACTTTGAGTTAAGTAGTTAAGTAGATATAATTTAGTTGTTTTTTACAATATTCTACCGACGGTTTTATTGACGCGTAGATAATCAAATTTTACGTTCAACAATGGTATAATCCTGAATTACACCTATTTTAAGTTATAACATTATTGGAATAGCAGTGCGATATGTTACATTCCATTAATCAGAGCTGTTGTCGGAATTCTTATATGACTAATCCCTAAATTCATTGTTTAACTTTTGACATTTGTGTATATATTTTGGCATTATTCAAATTATATTTTTATATTATTTTTTATTATTATAATTATAGTTCTTTTCATATTTTTTTATAGTTCATTTAGTAACATTTTGCAATTATTATCATTATTGACCTATATAACCATCAACAAGTTTAAATTACTGACTTACTTATTAAACCTGTGTGTTTGCCCACGTGATATTATTAAAAAAAACGTTATTATATTGTATTATTATTACTTATTTGTTGAGCATTGGCTGTAGAATCCGTCAGCATCAGCTTAAATAAGTAACAAATAACTACGAAAATCGAAACGTAATATAAGTCAATGATAATATTACTTAAACTAAAAATGTATTTGTGAAGATACTGTATCTACAAAAACCCGCCATTTTTTTTACTGCCCGGAAACGTAACTAAAAAAAAACACATTACACCTGGTTTAGTCTATCGAAGCGTGTATGAGTGAATGTATAATATACCTGCAATATTTATATGCCTAATGTTAGGCCGGGCACAGTGACCGGTGGAAAGAGGGCTTGGCGGATCCCCCCTATGGCGCTCGTACCATAGAGGCGATCCGCCCTAGTCCTCGTAGAGTGGGTAAACCGGTCCCACGGGCCACTGTCGTACCACCTTGTGCAGGTGCTGACCGGGCACGGCTGCTTCGGTCACTACCTGCACAAGGTGGCGAGGAGGGAACCGTCCCCGTCGTGCCACGAGTGCGGCGCTGCGGATGACACCGCGCAGCACACCCTAGAGGTGTGTAGCCGGTGGGATGAGCAGCGCCGCACTCTGACGGGGACTGCAGGGCAGGACCTCTCGCTGCCGAGCGTGGTTGCCGCCATGCTCGATAGCGAGGAGTCCTGGGCGGCGGTGGCCTCCTTTTGCGCAGAGGTTATATCGCAAAAGGAGGCCGCGGAGCGGGTGCGCGAGGATGCAGCGTACGCGTACCCGCTCCGGCGCAGACGTACGGGGAGAAGGCGAAGGCAGTTCGCTGCTCGCCTGATCCCCTAGTGAGACCAGCGGGCTCTGGACAGGGACTCCGGAGCCTGCATTGCACGGCCTCACTCGTCTGGGGGGCGGGTCGGAGGACAACCGACTCGCCCCTCCGTTGGCGCGGGAGCCCTGGCGTAAGCTAGGGCGGCCGGGCGGCGTCGTGGTGAATGTTCACTGATCCCACGGCGCCGACTCAACCGGCGAGAGGGAAACCCGGGGGGGTTTTAGTGGGGTAGGCCCTCCAGCCTGGAGGGAGAGTCCCCACATAACCCCTGAGTCTCCCTGGGCTCAGGGGTATCCATAAAGATTCCCCCCCGTCAAAAAAAAAAGGCCGGGCACAGTGAAACTATACTTCATTTGTAATTTGTCAGCTTCTGTATAACATGTGTTTTCACAAATAAACGAATTATGAAGTATTGGAAATGAAACTATTTTTTCGGATTTAAATCGCGTAAGGGACGTTTCGGACCCTTTACAGGTCCCGTGGTCATAGTTGACTGAGGTGGTGGTGAACGTCGGTTTGTTGGAAAAAACAAATATACGAGATTTAAATCCGGAAAAATAGTTTCATTTCCTATGTGTAACAATCGCGAAAACCTAAGAACTCGTTATGAATTATTTTTATTATGAGTCTATTGAAATAATGTTGACATTGGTACGATTATAAATGTTTAGCAGCTACACATCTCGCTATCACGGCGGTAGAAATAATCGTGATAAAACTCGAATATAGATACAACGTTCGTTTTCTCGGGTCTGGGTATTTGTCGTACCGTCGATGTTTCAGATTTCCATAACACAAGTGATTTAGCTACTTATTTTGGGACCAGCACCGTATGTGAAGTTGTCTATAATATTTATTTATTTGAGACGGTCATGGTGGCGGACTATGGTCTAAGACATCTCCTTAAAAGAACCCCGTGTTCAGCAGTGGAACGTACAAAAAGTTAACGATTACAATAAGGAAAGAAAAATAATACGTACCTTTAAAGTAAGCTTGGTGCCGCAAACAGCACATTTGAAGCACCCACTATGGAAGAAAGTAAAGTCTTTCAACGGTCCAACCCTGTCCACTTGGTACACAATCTCATTGCAACGGAAGCAGGTGCTTTCGTAAAAGTTCGGCCGATACATCGCGAACTGTGCTTTACCACAATATTAGAACAGATCAAGTCATAATTTACACTAAAATTCACTAAGTCACTTTTGGTTTGTAGACTAGTCACTTTGTCATCACTTTACTTCACTTCACCTGAAAGATATTACTTTATTAGTATATGCACGTGTGAAATACAATAATTTTAGAAGAACTCCATTTCCAAGTTTTTTTAACAAGATTCTTTCGTTCTTTGTATACGAAGTAATAGTGAATGATCAGAAAAGTCCGTGCGGCTGTTGCCACTATCTAACTTTGAACAGAACAGAGAAAAGGTCTTTTTTATTAAAAACCTTTTTTATTCTGTATGGTACAGAGTCAAGAGCACGTCAAGCTTGACACTTAATATTTAAATCCAACTGTATGCCCCTTACGATAAGAACGGTAGAAAGTTCAAAGTGTCAAGCTTGACGTGTACTTGACTGTACAGTATAGATTTAAACGTCGTAAATGTCAAATTTTGAATGTCAACCGGAATCTATAGAAGCGTATACATTTGCCCCATAAATGAATTTAATTTACAAGCGACGGGACAAACACGTCTTGCGCCTGGTGGTAAGTGACACGCCTGTTCATAACAGCCCCTGTCACCCTGAGACATAAGCTGACATAGCCCATGTGCCTGTAATTTCACCTCACATTATTACTTGGCGGCGGAAACAAGTAAGGTTACTGCACTGGACGAACTCTTGCAAATGGAGTTCCACTGCTACAAAAATCAAACTGCTTCTATTGCGTTTGTTCTTCTCTATCATGTCTACGTCTTTTCCATTACTTGATGCAACAACGGGTCTTACATTTAACATCAAACTGACTGCTATCAATTTCATAAATATACTTACAGTTATACTTATTAAATAGTTTTTTGCCTCTGTTTTCTTTTCTTTTTTTTATAATACAGAAAAACATGTAGTGTGTCTGGTGGTAAGCGCCACGCCTGCCCCCAACAGTTGCGGTGCCACCCTGAGCTTTTTATCACAAAGATTTGAGAAGCACTGGACACCCTGAGACATAAAGTTGACAAGTCTCATGTGCCTGTAATTTCACCAGCACCCTTACCCTTCGAAACCGGAACGCAGTAATGATCACATTACTGCTTGGCGTACTTCCCTGGACGAACTCTTTCACAAGGCACTCTACTGCTACTAAAAGGAGGTCTATTCTTTAGTACACAAGGTTTAAGGGGAATTGGTCATGGTGACGAAGTTCTCGTAACTAACACACACTTTTATTGATTCATTTACACCCTTGTTGAATTTTCTATAGGGTTATCTTATGTCATATAGCTTTTCACTTCCATTCTCCAAAATACCTATGGGGAATTTACCCATGGTGACTAAGTACTTGTAATTAACACGCACTTTTATTGATTCGATTACACCCTCCTTGACTTGCATAAAGGGATCAGAAAATTTGTTAAGCATACCAAAATGCTACTGCCATATTACAAATTGTTTACTGTTGAATTTTTTAACGACTTGACCATATAGATTTGTTTTTTCTTTTAAGGCTATAGTAGGCCTCTATTATCGTATAAATTACTCTAATTTTCTTCAATTTTAACGACATAATTCATCGGAAATTCATGACAATTTAATAACAGCAATACATCGCAGTAAATTCTTCTTTGAATCCTTAGTCATTCCACGGAAGGAATCAAAGGGTTATGGACGTTACAAGTAAAAGACAAAAATCAGTACAAGAGGCGTTTTGTTGATAAAATTAGTAATAAAGTTTTAAACAATTTTGTGTTTTAAACGAAATAATGGGCTATGTTTAATGTACTCATCAATTTTTATAATTTTTTCCTCTCTATGAAATTAATGTCAGCGCTATGCTATGAGAATTTCAAGCTTTACCAAAATTGGAAATAAATATTACCACATTTCTTTCTCTCTCTACCTCTATCACTATCTATCTGTCTCACACCCCGTCTATCATTACGTTTATTTCTTTTTCTCCTTTACTATCTCTCTCTCTCTCTTTCTCTTTGTCGTAGCTTGACAAGTAACAGAGTGGTATTCGGTGACTCGGTCTTTCTCAATTTAAAGTTTTTTATAATGGCGATAAGTTAAATTTCGTCCGCATTTTTCGAATTTGTAAATTTATTTAAATCAGCTTAATTTATTTAAATTAGCCAGTACTGCTAAGTCAGAGAATAAAAGTAAGCTTACTTTAAAAGAAGTGCATTGTAGTGCGCAGATTGCACCGTTAGTGCTCTGTGCAGGTCTATTAGCCCGCGCATGCGTGCGATGCCGTCAGCTCTACGTGAGATTTAAGTTGGATGCTTTAGCGATCTTTGTATGATATGGTTTGTCGATTTATTTTATGAAGTTTAATGTGTGTTTCTTCAAATAAACAAGGTTGTGCTTACAAAAGGATTGTATCATATCGTGCAATATAACGTAATTCCATATCGACTGTGAACTGGCAACCGGTACTATTTCAATTTTGACAACTATACAAGATGAAGAAAAAACCATTTATATAGCACCTGGTTTATTAAACAAAAATACGTAGTGTACATACGTGTGATAAAAATATTTAAAAACTACGTATTTTTATTTATTTTGGCACATGGGACCTGTCAACTTATGTCTCGGGGTGACGGACGCAGTGGTAGTGCTTTACAGATCTTTGCTATTTGAAGCTCTAAATAGCACTGCAACTGCTATGAACAGGCATGTCATTTCGTATTATAAAAAAAATAGGGAATGCTACCATGTATAACTAAATGAAATGGGACATAAAATTTTAATTGAATTAAATAAGAAACATTTTCGGTCAAGGACGTAACTCAAAATCTTCAGTTACGTCCATTCAAGTTATAGGCATACGCATATGCATTGCATTTTGGCATGTATGTGCTATTGGTATATGCACATGCAATATGCTATGCCATATGCATTTTTATTTATTTACTTAGGTTAGAGTACAGTTCTGCCCGCCTCGTCATTTTGCAGTTCCATTTGGGATTCAGTATTTCATCTGATGAAAAATCCCAAGCAGATATAAAACGGCAGTACTAATTAATATGTTTTAAATGATTCTAATTACCAAATAAATAACTTACTAATAATTTTAAATTTAGGAAATGTAACTATTTTTTCGGGTTTAAATCGCGTATATTTGTTTTTTCAAACAAACCAACGTTTCGTGGCACGGTTGCCTGACATTTTAATTTAATAAAACTCACAATTACATTGACTAAATAAACTAATTTTGTAAAGCGGTCACTCTTGGACTAGCGTTCACTACCTAATTTCCGTGGCAATTTTTATTATTTAAATATTCAAGTATATTTTTTATTTATTTAAACTTAATTGCACACAAAACAGTACAAATGGCGGACTTAATGCCATTAGGCATTCTCGTGTAATATATATATCGTGTAAACATTATCGTGTAATGATTAAATATTATTTCACGATACAATACTTGAATATTAAATAATATTGCACTGAAAAAAAATCGAATACTTAAATAATAAAAATTGCCACGGAAGTTAGGTAGCGAATACTAGTCCGAGAATAATCGAAAACACGTGTAGCGTAAATTGGAATGTTTATTTGAAAAATTTATAAAATAAGCTTATAACTATTGTAACAATAGTGAAAAATGTCAGTCATCCGTGACCATGGGATCTGCAAAGGGCCCGAAATACTGGTTTGTTTGAAAAAACATATATACCTACGCGATTTAGAAACCACGTTTAACAATCACGAAAACCTAAGAACTCGTCATCATTGCTTGTTCGTGTTCGTTACTTCACTCCTCAGTTAATAAGCGGGTATTTCTCGTAACTTGCAATCCACACTTAAGTCAGCGGCAACTATTGGAACGTGCCGAGTTAATGACAGCTCTAATATTTATCCATAACCGTCAATACAACTGCAACTACGACAAACTTATTTATACAGCCAACTGAGCCTCTATCATCCCATGTTATGTGAATATTTCATAACAAAACGTCAGTCCTGGATTGTGCCAACTGAAAATGTGAGTATCTTACAACAAAGTTATCTTTACAGCCAGCATTGGCTGTAACGTCGAGTGTTGCTTGAATATTTCCTATAAAAAAAGGTTTTGCTTTTTTTCAAATGAAAAGATATGTTTGCACTGAATTGCTTAATCTCTTCGACGGTTCTGCAATTGTAGAAATAACGTTTTGCACGCTTTGATGATTTAGGAATTTTTAGACGATTTAAAAGTTAGTTTTGAATCTTAGTAACATTGCTTTTTTTATTCTATGCACGTTTAACTTTTTTTCGACAACTTCGATGGCGCAACGGTTTGCACTGTGAGCGCTATATGAGGAGAAATGAAAATGAAATCTTCTGAATTGATTCTGGTTTGTGTGTTCTTTCTACTGCCCTGGAGTGAATTGCGTTTGGAACTGAAATTTGGTATATTCTAAAAATTCTCTATTTTCCGTACTAATACGGTTCATTTTGCTTGGGTCGAGCGGCAGGGTCACTGGCTTTATTTCAGAATTTATTTTTTTTACAAACGAAATTAAAGTAATTTGAAAAATGTGTATCGTATTATATAGGTGTTCTATTTAGTTCAGTTGATATAAAAACAAATGATAGGTGTATGCAAAGTACCTATTGAATACAGATTTTCTTGTAAAATTTCGACCTAAGTTTGTGTGTTTTTTCTATCGTGAAAATTTTTAGGAATCGTGTTTTCACACCGTATGTATATCCTTAACTTTACTATGTATTATTTCCAAAGTGATTGTGTGTGATTGTTCCAAAGTGATTCAACACTTTCACTATAATGCGGAATCAACCAGTCAGTTTTTTTTACAACATCAAGTAACGGGACGAACAAGTCTCGCGCCTGATGGTAACAGTTGCAGTGCCACTCAGAGCTTTTTATCACAAAAATCTGAGGGGCACTGCACACCCTGAGACATAAACTTGACAAGTCTCATGTGCCTGTAATTTCACCAGCACCCTTTCCCTTCAAAACC